GCCCAGCTGATTCTTTTCTATTTTCAGTAGAGATGGGGTCTTGCTCTTGCTCAGACTGGTCTGGAACTCCTGAGCTCAAGCGACCCTTCCACCTCGGTCTCCTGGAGTGCTAGGATTATAGGCGTGAGCCACCTCGCCTGGCCATGACATAAAATTCTTAACAAACTGCAGGCCGTGCACGGTGGCTTGTGCGTGTAATCCCAGCACTTTGGTAGCTGAGACAGGAGGATCGCTTGAGCCCAGGAATTCAAGGCTGCAGTGAGCTGTGATGACACCACTGCACTCCAGCCTGGGCTACAGAGCAAGACCCTGTCTCCCCGAGAAAAATTCTTAACAAATTACAAATTAAAGTGTTCTTACTTAATTTGATAAATGGTACCACAGACCAGCCAGCTAACTACACTGAAGGTTAAACCTGGAATTGGGAATAACACAGGAAGCCAACTGACACCATTTCCATTCAACATTCTACCGAACAGTTAGGAGGTTAAATAAAATGAGAGGTATAAAAGTTTGAGAAAACACAACTGGAATTCACAGATAGTATTGTTTATCCAAAAGATAAATTATTCGACTTAGTAAAAGAGTTGAGAAAGATCAACATATAAAAAATCAACATGCAGAATGTATTTCTACGTGTGTCTGTACAAGTTGCATCTCCTTGTCTGAAACGCTTGGGACCACGAGTGTTCTGGATTTCGGATCTTTTTGGATTTTGGAATATTTGCATTATACTTACTGAGCACTCCAAATCCGAAAATTTGAAATCCAAAATGCTCCAATGAGCATTTCTTTTGAGGGTCATATTGGTGCTCAGGAAGTTTCAGATTTTGGAGCATTTTGGATTTGGAATACTCAATGTGTGCTAGCCACACACAGTTGGAAAATGAAATTTTAAATTATTTACAGTTGCATCAAACACATCATGTTTCTAATTCCAAGTCTAATAAAAGGTACTTAGGTGATCTGTAGGGGGAAAATTATTAAGTATTTTTGGTTATAAATTTTGGGAGACAGTCAAGAAGATCTAAATAAATGGATAGAAATCTGTGGAAGAATCAAAGACTGTCAATCCCAATAAAATACAAACAAATGTTCTTTCTTTGAACATTGACAAGGAGATTGCAAAGGCACGTAGAACTGATCTGCTCTGGACGAAGAGCGCGGCATGAGCGTTTGCCGTCCCGGACACCAAGAGCATTTACAGCTGTGGCCGTTCAGACGGTGTCTCGGTGCAGCTCGACACAGATCTGTGCGGGAAGGACGCCCCATCCATATCGCTCCATTTTTTCCCCTGGGGGACTATTGCAGGAAGTGGCGACTGCCTGGTCTTTTCATAAGAGTTTTTGTTCCATTTTACCATATGAAAAAAAAATCAGACCAGTAACGCAAACCACACAGAAAGTTGACCCCAGTTGGGTCAGAGACCTCAGAGTAGAGGGAGACCATAAAACTCTCAGATGGTAAGACAGATATTTTTAACGACTTCACAGTAAGGAACGATTTTGTAAATAGAACACAGACGCACCGCCACAGTGAAGCAAATTTGACAGTTGACTACATTAAAATAAAAAACTCATATTTATCAGGACATCCCATAAGCGAGTTAAACAGGAAGTGATACAACAAAGGAAGCTACCTCCAGCACGCTCACGGTCAGTGCTCTAGAATTTCCATACACAAAGAGGTCCTAACATGAATATGCGAAAGGACGCCAATGCTGTGGACATTGGTGGAGGTCCTTGAGTGGGGACCGCACGGAAGAGCAAACACGATGGCCAGGACTTTATAAGAGGCACTGAGCCTTGTCAGCATCCATGAAACACAACGTCAACACAGTGAAAAAGACGGTCACAGGGAGACACAGCTGCAGACGAGCAGCCGACACTGCCGAGCGGAGGAGCAGCAGCAGCCCCAGGACTCTGGGACCTGTGGGGACAACACGCCCTGCGCAGCCCGGCGGGGGACGCGGCCCCAGCAGTGAGGGCAGGTGTGCAGGGTCGGCACCGCCCTGCCCTGGGGACCCCGCGCAGGGGGATCTGTGACAGCGTCCGTGCGTGGAACAGCCCCACGGGGCAGGGCAGATGGATGGAGTCGCTGTGTGACTTGTGCTGAGAGGAGGTGGGGCTTGTCCGGGCCACACGGCTGGTGCAGAGCCTGCAGACGTCTCTGTCCCTGCTGCCTCCCCGTCTTCCAGGCCGTCTTTCCCCAGTGATGCCTCCCTAACCTGGAGGGTTTCTCTGACCTTGTGTGTCCCTCCTTGTCCGTCCCCAGAGCCCAGGGCGGTGTTTGCCAAGGAGCAGCCAGAGCACAGCGAGGTGCGGGCCGAGGCGGGGGCCAGCGCCACGCTGAGCTGCGAGGTGGCCCAGGTGCAGACGGAGGTGACGTGGTACAAGGACGGGAAGCAGCTGAGCGCCAGCCCCCAAGTGCGCGTGGAGGCAAAGGGGAAGCAGAGGCGGCTGGTGGTGCCGCAGGCGGGCAGGGCGGACGCCGGGGAGTACAGCTGCGAGGCCGGGGGCCAGAGGGTCTCCTTCCGCCTGGACGTCACAGGTGGGTCCTTGGGGGCACTGACTTGCCTTGTTTTAAGGTGACAGTGGTTCTGGCTCATAGCCCAACAGGTCTCTGTGTTCTTCAGCCTTTGTCTCCCCACTTCCTGTGCTTCTGCTCCCGTTGTGTGGTGTGACTGGGCCGGCGGGGGGGAGGCTTCGTCTCTCAGGGAGGTGCCGCTTCTGTAACCTCGGGTGGAGTTTCCACCAGCAATGCTCAGGTCCATGTTTCTAGCACCTGCCTGGAACCCTCCTGGTGTTCTGGTGTCGGGGACTCTGGCCCTGTCTGGCCGGAGGGAGGACCAGTTGTCTCTCCTGGGGATTTGTGAGTATTTTTCTTTCCCTGATTTGTCGGTTCCCAGATGCCCTCTATTGAGCACCGTGCGAGGCTCCTGCTAGTGAGAGACGTTTGAGCTGGTTTGAAGCAGGGTAAGGCGATTTTGGCCACACATTCACACTTGCAGTGGACTCCAGACCGCACTTGGTGTTTGGAAAGCCTTAGGCGCCCCAGGGACCCTGTTCCCTGTCTTTGTGTGGCGCTAAACGCTCTCTGTGCATGCACGTGCGGCCAAACCTGGACCTGCGTCTTCTTGTGGCATCTGTGCAAAGGAACCCAAGAGCAGTGGGGAGGTGGGCGCGCTCCCGTGAGGCTCTGGGTTGGCTTTTAAAGGCAAATCTTGTTTTCCTTCTGTCTTCAGTAAGAACATTCTGTGTCAGACTGAATTTCTCCTTCGCATTTGGTTTGTAAATTTAGATACGGAGAGGAACGAACAGCCTAAGCTACATCAGCACACGCTGTTACGGACGAGTGCCGTGGCCGTAGAGCGACTGGCACAGCCGTGGATTGCACGTGGCTCCTCAGTGACCCGGTGTCTGTGCCTCATAGGCTGAGGCACAGAGAAGCCCCAGAACAATACATTCCGTTCTTCTGTCGAGAGCGTCTTACCTTGGCAGAGGCGCCACGTGGCACCGTGTAACTCCCAGGTCCCAGGGCCTCGCAGCTGGGCATTCTGTCCATACACAGTGGTTTGTGCTTGTGGATAGACACCAAAACCTGTTTATCTTTCTAAAATCATTTTAAGAGCATATGATAAATTATTTAATGATAATAAATTTGATAAGATTTGGAAAATAAATCAATTTCTTAGAAAACTTTATGAAGCAGTTACACAAGAAGAAATAGACAACCCAAATAGTCCTATAACGTTTAAATAAATACAACCAGTGGTGAAAAAAAAAAC